CAGGCCATGAGCCACCATGCCTAGCTTCTGTCTTTTAACTGAATAATTTATTCTATTTGTGTGGATTATGATTACTCATATGTTTAGGTTTATTGCCACTGCTTTATTTTATACTTCCTACTTACTCTGTCTTTTCTTTGTTTCTTTTCTCTTTCTCTTGGATTGTTTGAGTTTTACTGATTCCCCCTTTATCCTCTAAACTATACATATACATTTTTTTAATTCCCACTCAAGAGTAATCAGTCTTACTGATTTTTAAGATTTAAGTCTTAAATCAATTATAAAAAATGTTTAGCCACTTTCACTTTGACTGCTGCCTCTTCCCTATTTTTTTTTTTTTTTTTTTTTTTTTGAGACAGAGTCTCATCTGTCATCCAGGCTGAAGTGCAATGGCACGATCTCAATTCACTGCAACCTCCACCTCCCAGGTTCAAGTGATTCTCCTGCCTCAGCCTCCTGAGTAGCTGGGATTATAGGCTCCCACCACCACACTCAGCTAATTTTTGTATTTTTGTTTTAAGTAGAGGTGGGGTTTCACCATGTTGCCCAGGCTGATCTTGAACACTTGACCTCAAGTGATCCACCTGCCTTGGCCTCCCAAAGTGCTGGGATTATAGGCATGAGTCACCATGCCTGGCCCCATTATCTATCTTCTTACCTTCTGGAAACCCCATTATATGTATATTAGAATTTCTCATTCTATCCTACTTGTCTCTTAATCTCTCTTTCATATTTTCCAACTCTTAATCTCTCTAAACTGCTTTTTATGAAATTTCCTCTACTGTATCTTCCAATTCCCTAATTCTCCTTCAGCTGTCTCTAATCTGTCCATTGAGTTTTTAGTTTTAATGACTATATACTTTTCATTTTTATTAATATTATTAGATTATTTTTCAAATCTGCCTCCTCCTTTTAATAGTCTTTCTTTTTTTTTTTTTTTTTTTTTTTTTTTGAGACAGAGTCTCGCTCTGTCACCCAGGCTGGAGTGCAGGGGCCGGATCTCAGCTCACTGCAAGCTCCGCCTCCCGGGTTCACGCCATTCTCCTGCCTCAGCCTCCCGAGCAGCTGGGACTACAGGCGCCTGCCACCTTGCCCTGCTAGTTTTTTGTATTTTTAGTAGAGACGGGGTTTCACCATGTTAGCCAGGATGGTCTCGATCTCCTGACCTCGTGATCCGCCCGTCTCGGCCTCCCAAAGTGCTGACATTACAGAATAGTCTTATTCTCTTTATCAATTTTCAATTCGTTTTTAAGTCTTTAATCATTTTAAATATACTTATTTTATAGTATATTTGATAGTTCTATTGTCTTAAGTTCTTGAAATATAATCCGTCAGTTGCTTGGTCTGCTGACTCTTGCTCATGATAAATTGATTCCTCATATGTTTTGTAATTGGATTGTGAACTTATATTTAGTAGGACTCTCTTTGTAGCAATCTCAAACTGCCTGGATTGAGGGAATGTTCCTCCAGAGAATATTTTTTTATTGCTTCTGACAGACATTGCAGGGATACCACTTGTATATTAATGTATAATATAGAAGTGATGCCACTTCTATATTAATGTTTTATCTTAAGAATTCCCAAACCAAATGGGTTATATGCATTTCAACCTTGAACCTACATGAAGAATTTACAGTATGTTATGTACTGAATGTTTATGTCCCTCCAAAATTCACATGTTGAAGCCCTAACCCCCAATATATTGTATTTGAAAATGGGGCTTTGGGGAAGTAATTAAGGTTACATGAGGCCATGAAGGTGGGCCTTTCATGATGGGATTAATGCCCTTATAAAAGAGACACCAGGGAGCTTGCTCACTTGCTATCTCTCCTGACATTCCCACAAAGAAGATATCATGTGAACACATAGCAAGATGGTGGCCACCTAGAAGAATAACCCTCTTCTACACCAGGAAAAATGCTCACTAGGAACCAAATTGGCTGGTACCTTGATTTTGAACTTCCCAACCACCAGAACTGTGAGAAACAAATTTCTGTTATTTAAGCTACCTAGTCTATGTTATTTTGTTATGGCAGCCTGAAGAGACTAATATATAGTAGCATCCAAAAAAATCACAAACCTAGATATGAACACAATGGAAGTTGTGTAAAAGCTCTACCATTCAATATTGGAAGATTCAATATTATAAATATATAAGCTCTCTACAATCTGGCATATCTATAGTTTCTGTGTAATTCTGATAAAAATTCCAGCGGGTTTATTGTGAGTGTGCATGGAAATTGACAAGCTGATTCTAAATTTTATATGAAAATGTTAAGGGGCAAAAAGAACCAAGACAATCTTGAAGAAGAACAAAGTTGGAAGACTTTCCCTATTTGATATCAAGACTCATTATAAAATGAAGTAATAGTATACAATAAGATAATGTCACAAGGATAAACAAATAGACCAGTGGAACAGAATCCAAGATCCAGAAACTGACCTATAGATATATGGTCAGTTGATTTACAGCAAGGGTGACAATGTAACACAATAAGAGGAATAATATTATTTTCAATAAATAGCGTGGGGTCAGTTGGCTATCTAGATGTAAAAAAATTAATATCAACCTCTATTTTTTTTAAAAACTATATATACAAAAAAAGAATTCAAGATGGATTATAGTTCTAAATTTGAAAAATATAAAAATAAAGCTTCTAAAAAATCACAGGAAAATATATGATTTTGGACAAAGCAAATATTTCTTAAGCAGGTCGCACAGAGTAATAACTATAAGGAAAAAAAAAGAGATTTAAACTTTAATAAAATCAAGGACATCTGCTTATCAAAAACATCATTAAGAGAATGAAGCCAGGTGTGGTGGCTTATGCCTATAATCCCAGCACTTTGGGAGGCCGAGGTGGCTGGATCACCTGAGGTGAGGAGTTTGAGAACAGTCTGGCCAACATGGTGAAACCCCATCTCTACTAAAAATACAAAAAATTAGCCAGGCATGGTGGTGGGCACTGGAAATCCCAGTTATTCAGGAGGCTGAAGCAGGAGAATTGCTTGAACCCAGGAGACAGAGGTTGCAGTGAGCCGAGATCTCGCCATTGCACTCCAGCCTGGGCAACAGAGTGAGACTCCATCTCAAAAAAGGAAGGAAAAAGAAAAGAGTGAAAAGGCAAGCTAAAGAATGGGCGAAGATATTTGCAATATATTTATGGTCACAATGATTTATATTTCCAATACAAATCTATAAATCAAGTATCAACTATAAATCAGTAAGAGAAGTACAGATGACCCATTAGAAAAAGTGAGCAAAATACTTGAATAGACACTTCATAAAAGCAGGTATTAAATTGCCGCAATAATTATGAGAAAGTACGCTCTCATTCATCATCCTAGAAATGCAAATTCAAGGCCAGGCGTGGTGGCTCACGCCTGTAATCCCAGTGCTTTGGGAGGCCGAGGTGGGCAGATCACAGTCTCGATTAAGAGATGGAGACCATCCTGGCCAACATGGTGAAACCCCATCTCTACTAAAAATACAAAAATTAGCTGGGTGTGGTAGCACACACCTGTAGTCCCAGCTACTCGGGAGGCTGAGGCAGGAGAACCACTTGAACCTGGGAGGCAGAGGTTGCGGTGAGCCGAGATCGTGCCACTGCACTCCAGCCTGGCAACAGAGTGAGACTGCATCTCAAGAAAAAAAAAAAAAAAGAAAGAAAGAAATGCAGATCCAACGAGAGTGATTAAAATAAGCCTGAGGAAAAGACAATACAAATTGTTGGGGAGGATGTGGAGCAATTAGAATGCTCCTACACTGTTGTCATTGCTGTTGGACTTTTTTTTCTTTTTTCTTTTTTTTGATACAGGGTCTCGCTTTGTTGCCTGGGCTGGAATGCACTAGTGTGATCACAGCTCACTGCAGCCTCCATTTCCTGGACTCAAGTGATCCTTCTATCACAGCTTCCTGAGTAGTTGGAACTACAGGTGCACACCACCATGCCCAGCTAATATTTTAATTTTTTGTAGAGATGGAGTCTCACTATATTGCCCAGGCTGGTCTCAAACTCCTGGCCTCAAGCAATCCTCCTGCCTTGGCTTCCCAAAGTGTTGGAATTACAGGCATGAGCCACAGTGCCTGGCCCATATGCTGTTATTTAAAATGAACAACCACTCTGAAAATCTGTTTAGCAGTATTCTCCAAATCTGAGTTTATACATACCTAAATTCAATAATTTGTATCTTAAATATTTGTCCAACATAAATATCTTATGTTCACCAAAAACTCACATACCAGAATGTTCTAAGCAGCACTTTTCACCAACATCCAAAAACTGAGAATCACACAAATGTCCTGGACGAACTTTCAAACCCAAGTGCCCTGGTTCCCAAAACCAGCGTGTACACCCCCATCCCCAGGGAATACACCACATCAGTCATGCACTTGAAGCTCTGACTTCCAGTTTCCTCTTCATTGGGCCCCTACAGATTTGCTTTACTTTCTTATGAGCTCAGTTTTGCATGAAAGAGGCTGCATGTGACTGTTCATTCAGAATGTCAGGAGGTTTTGCAGCAGAAGTATTACGAGGTTACATAGTTCCCGATATACCTCATCATCTTTCCATGGCCCCGTCTAGCTGTGAAGATTCTTCCTGGCCCTGGTTTTGCAGACTAAAGATACTATTTTGTTGTAAAGTGGAGAGAGCAGAGAGGAAAAGAGGAGATACTTTTACTTAACACCCAAGGATCGGGGGAGCATGGTTGGGGTAGTGTCTCTCCCCTAGTTCATCTGCTGAGAGGCTGCAGTGAACCCTGTCCACATCCCACTGGAGAACCAAAGCCCTGCCTGGCTGGAAATCAACACCCTGGCTGTCCTAAGGGCTCATCTCTGGTTCGATGAGGTTGACAACTATTTCTGGAGCCTCCCATCACTCAGCTGAGCAGCTGTCCCCCTCCCTCAGTTCTCTGGGTGGCTCTGGGCAGGGCTGGAATCCAGCTGCCAGGCACCCCTGACTGTGCTGAAAGAGTTGAGCCTGGAGAGTCCCTCTCACCTTCTGCTTTGCCCCTGGATCCTGTATGGATGCCCTTGAAGGTCACACCTCTCTCTGATAGAGAACCCAGTTTAATCACCAGGTGCTGCTTGGACTTCTTGTGTCCTAATTTTCAAATATCCCACAAGGCCCCAAGCCACATGTTAACAGGCAGGGAAAACAGTAGCTCCTCTTGAGTGCTGCTCATGGCCCCAGAGGCCAGGATGCCCAGTTTTCTGCTGACCACTTCTTTGTGGTTGAGTAAAAAGGCTTTCACATTTCGGGATAGAACTGAGGTTCCTTAGGATCTACTGTCATCTTCAACCTGTGAGTAAAGAACAAGGGCTGGTGAACAGGGAGACGCTCAGGTCGTAATAACTAAAAGAGGTAACAGTGATGAAGTGTCCTACATGCCAGGCACGGTACACAGGGCTTTACATGGTTAGCTCATTTAATTCTCAAAACAACCTGAAAGATGGAGATATAGACAGACATACATATGTCTATATGTGTATATATACACATATATTATAAATAAATATCTATTATAAAGAATGTATAATTATATATTATATATAACCCCATTTGTTATTATCATAATCTTATATAATTATATATACACATTATAAATAAATACATAATTATATGTTATATATATATATTTTTTATATATATATATAAAAAATTCCCATTTTTTTGATGAGCAACTGAGTCTGCAAGAGGTATGTGACTTGCTCCAAGTGACACAGTTAAGGGACAAAGCCAGGACCGAGCCCCGGAAAATCTGGCTCACATCCTTGACCGTGGTTCTAGATGTGATCTTCTGTCACTGATCCCAGACTCTACGTCACCTCTAGTGCATGCCAGGCACTGCCCCTGGCAGACCCTTTCCACCCTTCCTGCCTTGCTGTCTCAGTGAACCCTGCAGTGGGGGTGTCAGCGGGACAGGTTCACAGAACACCTCTTTGGCAGGATCTCCAAGAGCCCCTCCTCATTTCCCTCTTCCACCAGCGTGTCCCTCTCCCTGCCCTTGTAGCTGGGGTCTCCTGCGTGCCTGGGCCTTTCTGTCTCCTTCCTATTTACTTTGCCTGGCAACTACTATAACTATTCTTACCTGGCTCTGACCCACGCAAACCTAGACCAATCCCCCTATTCCCCTCTCCGCCTCCTAAAGAGTAGGGTGCCCAGCTGGACCATAACCCAGCTGCCTCAGGCCAGGGTCGAGGGGCATCCACTTGGCTCTTCCTTCACTGGGAACGCCAGACCAGGAATGGCCCCCCTTTCCTTAAGGAGGAATGGTTTCTCTGAGCGGAAATGGTACGTGTTCCGCAGGCACTAACCATCTTCAGTGGTTGTGGTTTAAAACTCAGAATAAGAAAGCCACCTTCAAAGAAGGCATGCCACACGTTTCCTGTTTAGGAGCTCAGGCTAGACTAGATGAGTGGCTCACACCTGTAGTCCCAACACTGGGAAGCTGAGGCGAGTGGACGGCCTTCAGCCTAGGAGTTTGAAACCAGCCTGGGTAACACAGTAAAACCCCATCTCTACCAAAAAAAAAAAAAAATTAGCTGGGTGTGGTGGCACTCACCTGACTCACCTGTACTCCCAACTACTCAGGAAGCTGAGGTGGGAGGATCACTCGAGTCCAGGAGACTGAGGCTGCAGTGAGCCATGATCATACTACTGCACTATGGCGTGGGCAACAGAGTGAGACTGTGTCTCAAAAAAAAAAAAAAAAAAAAAAAAAAGAGCTCGGCCTTAATCGGGCATCAGATTTAGTTCTTGCTTAATGGCCCAGAGCAGCATAAAGCATGAAGCATGACAGAGATGTCAAAAGCAGGCCTGGCAGAGTCATCCTCCCGGGCTCCTACGGGACATCCTTCACCCTGGCCAGGCCTCAAATTCAGTTCCAGGTCTTGACCACCACCAAAGCCCTGCAGTCAGCCAAAGGTTCCTGCCAGCCAGTTTTGTTCAGATATCTACTTTTTTTTCCCCCTAAACAACCCCCGAAAAATAAACAGACTGACTCTTCAGTTAAGGAGGGACATCAGTCCACTGCAAGGGCCCGACGCCAAGGGCTAATTTTAAGAAAGGAGGGAAACACATATCACAATATGAGATATGTGTGATATGTGCCCCAGACCAAACACCCCTGGGACAGGAGTGTGAACAGCACCTAGAACCACCCTACCCTGGAGGTTCACCTCTGTGCAGCCTTTGGCCATCCATCCGGAGCCGCCCTGATTCTCCACAGGGAGAGCGGGGAATTACAGTTCCCGTCCCTGCTGGGCGGAACCAGGTAACATCTTAAAGGCCCTTCCTACTGGGACTCACTCCATCCTGGTAATATCTGACATTGAATAAACACCATGGCCAGCCATGGAGATGCGTGATCATACTCAGGCACCCCAGCAACCCAGCCAGACTGTTCTCATGAACACCCTTTTCAGAAATGGGGACAGTCACGTGCCAAGATGCCAAAGAGGGGTGGGGGAAGAGAAAGGGTTTGGGTCCAGGTCTGTCTAACTGAAAGGCTGCGTCTGGCACTTCCCCAGCTCACGAAGCCTGCTGCCTCTTGACAGGAAGTCAAAGGCACAGGCAGATGGGGCTCTGGTGGAGCCCTGCCCAGAAAATGGCCACTTCCGGAACAAAACTGCCACAGCAACAGGCCTTGTCAACAGCAGCCTCCAACCGTTAACCACAGGGCCGTCTCACCTCTAGAAATCAGCTCCCTCTTGTCCACGCATCCCTACACACAAACACTAACTCCATCACCCAGGAGACCGCGGAACAAAGGCAACGAGAGAGAGGGACAGAATGGGGCATAAATAAGGGGCTGGACGGGCAGACAGGAAAGAAACACTTCAAGGCAGAGCACACCAGGATGTATTAGAAAGGAATATTTGACATGCAGGCTTTTAGATGAAGCCTACACTCCTTATTTGGGGAGTATACACAAATGAGTCTGTATTTTCAAATACGTCACATGCACCGCCTTGTAACCCAAAACAGTATTTGTGCTTCAGGGGCTGCACTGCGCTGTTTTGTACACAGAATCACCTGGCACAGCTCCTGTCCCTGAGATGCAAATTACTGTTCTCATGTGGCGGGGAAGGGGTTGAGAGGAGGCGAGGGGGAGGGGAGCAAGTGTGCTCTGCAGGCCACACTCAGGCACTGACATCGCCGGGCATGATAGGCGCCGCCAGCACTGTTGCTTAGCAACCCAATACCCTTCGAGAAAATCCAGCAGCCTCACTGGCTTGCAGAAGCAGGCAGAGCTGGTTCAGCATGGCATTGGGCATGGAAAGATAATCATAGGGGTTTTTTTCCAGTTATTAATAATCATTCTTCCTGATTTCCCATACAGATCACCATACCTGAGGGGACGCAAAGTCACCCACTACACTGGGGCTGGAAAAAGCCCAGGGTTTTTCAATTGCCTCCCAATCGGCTTCGGAGAGTAGTGGAATTTTACTGGCTGGCCCCATGACGCTCCTTCCAGCCCCGGCCCTCACCACAACACAAAGGCAGAGCTCCACGGTGTGACTCACCAGCATACCTTCAGACCGTTGTTTGTCAGCCCATGTCATGAGTCATGGTTTCTTCAGCTTTCTTTTTTCTCAAAACTGAAACACTTGACATTTTAGAATAGGGTTGGGGGGAGGCTTTTCATTTTTTTTTGAGCCACTCTGTGGCTTTGTGTGCAAGTGTAGGGGAATGTGGGAAGAGGTGAGTAATGGATGCAAGAACAGGTAAACATGAGCAAGGTTCTCCATGCTGTCAGCCACCTGGGAAGCCACCAGCGCTCGAGGAAGTTGTCATTTGTGTCGTGGAGGAATGGAAATGCTCCTGGGCTATATATCTTGGGAGAGACAAGGCCTCCATCCGTTGCATCCCAGCAGTGTCATGCTCCCTCTATTCCCACACACAAAGAGGTCGGCTTCGTTTTGTGCCGCGTGATAACAGCACCACGTAAGGCTTTAAGAAAAATCCTGCAGGAGTTACAAGAAACAAAATACACTGCGATGTAAGATGAGAAAACAGAAGTGGACTTGCCACACGGAAACTGTGCTGGGCTGGACGGTTGGTTGGTGGGTCCCTGGCTTTGGATTCTGATTCTGACATAAATTGGGTGGGTGATGAGCTTCTGCTTATTTGCATGGCTCAGCACAACTTTCCTCCTCTCCATGAAGCCCTCAACCTCCAAATTTATCCACTTAGACAGCACAGTCTTTCCCCTAGAGTGTGAACCCCTCAAAGTTGGCATCATTTTATAAATCTCCTTATGGTATCAACCAAGCGCATATCAAATACGTACTAGATGTTCACTCATGCTGCCCGTCTGTATGGAGAGATGGAGAAACGAAAATTAACTAACTAAATCCAATTCACGTTTTGGAATCCTTATTTGTTCCCATGCTTTACAGGATAGATTCAATATGCCCTGTCAAGTCCCAGGAAAGTAGTGAAGACGTAGGAATGGATACAACGGAAAACATTCTGAATGTTACACAATTCGAAATGCCATGATGTTATAAAGCATTCTTAGAAAAGGTAATAGTTGACCGGGCATGGTGGCTCATTCCTATAATCCCAGCACTTTGGGAGGCCGAGGTGGGGGGATCACCTGAGGTCAGGAATTCGAGACCAGCCTGGCCAAAAGGGTGAAACTCCATCTCTACTAAAAATACAAAAATTCCCCGGGCGTGGTGGCAGGCACCTGTAATCCCAGCTACTGGGGAGGCTGAGGCAGGAGAATTGCTTGAACCTGGGAGGTGGAGGTTGCAGTGAGCTGAGATCGCGCCACTGTACTCCAGCCTAGGTGACAGAGTGTAACTCTGTCTCAAAAAATTTAAAAAGAAAGAAAGAAAGAAAAGGTAATAACTATCAGAAGCCTCCCCACAGTCAGGAATGAGGACCAATTCTATACATAGGTAAATTAGGGAAGGGGAAAGTTAGAACTAATACAAAATACTTCCCCTGTCAGATTGAGGTAGTGTCTGAAATTTCCACAATATTTGCTTCTTTAGATTAAGATATTGAAGACCCATGTCAAAATATAAATGTTCTCTAGCCACAGCAATGTATTAATCCATTATTAACCTCAAGTGCATTTGCTGAATTTATTAAATCCGCTCCCAGAGTGTAAGAGACCTAGGGATTGAGACTTGAAGCACGTAATTATGTTTTTACTTTTTATTATGGAAATGTCCAAACGTGTACAAAACTTGAAGTAATAGTATAATCAAACCCTATGTGCTCATCAGCTAGCTTCAACAATTATCATCCTATCACCAACCCTGTCTTATCTACTTCCCCCCAAAACACACACACTGGATTATTTTGAAACAAATCCAAAACTTCACAGCATTTCATTCATACATATTGCAGTATATAACTCTAAAATATAAAGACTGACTTTTTTTTTTTTGGAGACAGGACTCACTATATTGTTCAGGCTGGTCTCAAAGTCCTGATCTCAAGCAATCCTCCCATGTAGCTGGAATTACAGTCCTGAGCCACCGCACCAAGCTAAAAACATCAAGACTTTTAAAAAACATAACCACAATACCAGTATCACACCTGAAAAAAAAAGTTTCTTTATTTTTTTTCTTTATTTTTATTTTTTTTTTTTTTTCGAGACAGAGTCTCGCTCTGTTGCCCAGGCTAGAGTGCAATGGCACGATCTTGGCTCACTGCAACCTCCACCTCCCGGGTTCCAGCAATTCTCCTGCCTCAGCCTCCCAAATAGCTGGAACTACAGGCATGCGCCAACGTGCCCAGCTAATTTTTGTTATTTTTAGTAGAGACGGGATTTCACCCTGTTGGCCAGGCTGGTCTCAAACTCCCGACCTCAGGCGATCCAAAGTGCTGGGATTACAGGCGTGAGCCACCACACCCGGCCAACAGTTTCTTAATATCAGCAAATATCTGGTCAGTAGTCAATATTCAAATATCCTTGTTAAAACAGTTCAGGGGTTGTTTTTAAAGTAATGAATTTGAATTATTAGAGCAGTTTTAGGTTCACAGCAAAATTGAGCAGAAAGTACTCTTCCTATATGCCCCCTGCACCCAGACACGCACCACCTCCCCCCCCCACCAGAGGACAACCTTTGTCACAATCAGTGAACCTACACTGACACATCATTATCACCCAACGTCTGTAGTTTACATTGGAGTTCATTCTTGGTGTTGTATACCCTATGGTTTGGACAAATGTATCATGATATGGATCCACCATTACAGAACCATACAGAATAGTTTGATGACCCCCCAAATTCTCCATGCTCTGCCTGTTGATCTTGCCCTCCCTCCAACCCCTGTCAACCACTGATCTCCATCGTTTTGCCTTTTCCAAAATGCCATATAGTTGGAATCATACATAACCTTTTCAGACTGATTTCTTTCACTTTGTAATCAGCACTTACATTTCCTTCATGTCTTTTCATGGCTTGACAGTTCATTTCCTTTTAGTACTGAATAATATTCCACTGTCTGGATGTACCACAGTGTGTTTATCCATTCGCCTACTGGAGGACATCTTTGTTGCTTCCAAGTTTTGACAACTATGAGTAAAGCAGTTATAAAATCTTGTGTAGGTTTCTGTGTGGATATGTTTTCAACTCATTTGGGTAAATACCAAGGAGTATAATTGCTGGATCATGTGGTAAGAGTATGTTAGTTTTGTAAGAAACTGCCAAAGTGTCTTCCAAAGTGTCTGTATCATTTTGCATTCTCAGCAGCAAAGAATGAGAGTTCTTGTTCCACTTCCTCGCCAGCATTTGGTGTTGTCAGTGTTTGAATTTTGGCCTTTGTGATAGGTATGTAGCTGTATCTTTTGTCATTTTTATTTGCAATTCCCTAACAATAAATGATGTTGAACATCTTTTCATATGCTTATTTGCTATCCGTGTATCTTCTTTGGTGAGGTGTCTGTTCAAATCTTTTGCCCATTTTTAAATTGAACTGCTCGTTTTCACTTTTTCTCTTTTTTTTTTTTTCCTGAGACAGGGTCTTGCTCTATTGCCCAGGCTGGAGTGCAGTGGTGTGATGTCAGCTCATTGCAGTCTCCACCTCCTGGGCTCAAACAATTCTCCCACCTCAGCCTCCTGAGTAGCTGGGACTACAGGTGCACACCACCATGATTTGGAGTTTTTTTGTTTGTTTGTTTATTTGTTTGGTAGAGATGGGGTTTCGCCACATTGCCTAGGCTGGTCTCAAATGCCTGGACTCAAGTGATCCACCTGCCTCGGCCTCCCAATGTGATAAGATTACAGGTGTAAGCCACTGCACCTGGCCTGGACTGTTCCTTTTCTTATTGTTGAGTTTTAACAGTACAGTTCTGAGGTTAAAGTGGTCAGATTCAGAACATGGCCAGAGCTGGTCCTAAGAGTATGCCCAAGGAAAGACAGGATGCGAATTTCACCTGTTTCACTGTTTTGCTTTCTGTTTCACAGTTGTTGAGAGCAGTCCATGCATGAGGTAGGACATAGATGTGGAATTCAAAACATGAATTTATCTTCCTATCAGCCAATGACGCACAACAGCTTCCCCTAGTTGTTATAGAATAACAAAGAGCTGGGTTTTCTTAACCTGGCAGTAGCAGGACTTGATTATTTAATCCCATTGTCAGCTCTACCTGATCATGGATAAGCTAGATATCCTTGTCTGAGCCTCAGTTTCCTTGTAAAATGGAGGTAATAAAAGGACCTACCTCATACAGCTCGTAAGAGAATTAAAGAGGATAATGAATGTAAAGCACTTAGGAAAGCTCTTGGCACGGTACACTCATAATGAAAAGAAACTATTGTATTGTTAGTTCCCAGTCTCCCTGGAAACCAAAGCTGTGGGCAAGCTGATGCTTGATGAAGATCCTAATGGCCAATCATTGCCTCTCCTCTGCTTGACAAAACACTGAATTCGAAATGTTTCAAGCTAGTG